TTTTTTCTTTATTGTCTTGGATAATTTCTTTATCAAATTCTGCAATTCTTAAAGAAATTTGATTTTTATCAATTTTATGATGTTGAAATGTTTTTAAAAATTCAATAACATCAAGAATATTCATATTATCTCGAGCTATACAAATTTTATTCTTTTCATATATTTGAATTGATAATTGAATAGAACCAAATTCTATTTCATCAAATGTAACAATACAATTTTGTTCATTTACTTTAACTTTTACTAATTGAATTGCATTTAATTCAGACTCAATTTTATCAACAACTTTAAATCCACTTCGTTCAAAATATAATCCAATCATTTCTTTTAAAATATTATTTGGTGTTTCAATTATTACTTTTACCTTGTCTTTTTGTTGTTGTTTTAAATATTCTTCAACTAAATATGGCTCACAACACATAGCCATTACTGAAACATTAAATAAATATCCAACACCTGCTTCTCTTGAATCAGCTCCAATTCTTCTTAAAGAACCACCAGTAATAACATTAATATCATTAACATTAACTTCAAATGTAATAACGGATGGATCTTGATCATTAAATGTATGAATATTAGAACTATAATATAATATAGAATCATCAAATAAATCATTATACATATTTATTTGTTGAATAAAATTATCTAAAACTATTTGAATTGATGAATCATTTGAAAATACTTGATTTTTCTTTAATAATTTTAAAGATCTTAATGTATTTTTCAATGTATTTTCTCCATTAAATAATTTATTTTGTTCTATCTTTGGTAGTCTTACAATAATATCATTAATTTGTGAATTAGAAATTATTATTTTATATTTTATATTACAACACTTTTTCATTATTTCATTAACTTCTTGTAAAACATCACACATATCAAATATAATTGATTCATCACTACTTGGTTTAATAAGCATAGTTGAAGCAAAATTAATTACATCATTACTTCCTAATTCATATAATGGAATTTGAATATGTAATGGTGTATTTGTTGTACTTATTTTCTTTCTATTTATCATAATTACTTTCATTAAGTCAACAAAATTATTTAAAATAACAAGTAATTCATTGTCTGAATTATTCATCATTGGACTTGTTACTGTTTCATCAGCAATCCATTTAAAAGGAATAATTGGATAAAAGAAACAATTAATAGCTCCAATTTTTTTATTTATTTCTCTTACTTGGTCTTCAACAAATTTAATAGATTGAATATATTGTTCTCTAAATACACAATTATTATTAATTTGACTTGTAGCTTTATTAACAATACTTTGAAATATTGAGTTATGATTTTGTAATAATGGTTTAATATATTCTAATTTCCTTTGAGTCTCTTCCATTCCACTAATTTTTTCAAGTATTTGATTTGCATCTGGACGTTTTTTTGGATCAAACTCAGTCATATTTAAAATTAATTGACTTAGTTGAGGAAAATATTTACTAACAGTTTCATTAATTTGTCTTTTTTTAATTAATTCAATTCCAAGAATAAATTCTGACCTTGTAACACAACTCATACACATTTCAAGAAGAATAATTCCAAGACTATAGATATCAATTGAAGTATCATAATCTCCACTTGAAACTTCTGGTGCAGTATATCCTGGTGTTCCAACAAATTTACATTTATTTCTATTTTTTGCCATTGTAGCATATCCAAAATCACCTATTTTTAATATGTCACCATCTCTAAATATATTAGCAGGTTTAAGATCTCCATGAATAATATTTTTTGAATGAATATATTGAATCCCTGTAATAATTTGTTTAAAATAAAAATTTATCTTTTCATTGGCATTTTTCTTAGAATAATGAAGTTCTTGTGATTCAATAATTCTACTTAAATTACTTCCACTACAATATTCCATTTGAATTACTACTACTTTTACTCGTTCATTTGATGTTTCATTTAATTGTAAATTTGTTTTATCAATACTAATTTGTTTAATTTCTTTTTCTTCTACCTCTTTATCTGTAATTTCTCCACTTAATTTAATTGGTTCTTCTTTATTTGTTTCAAATTCAGATATTTCAGAATAACTTTCATCATTATCACTCACAGTAACATATTCATAATCATCCTCTTCATCTTCATTACTTTCAAACACATTACTTTTTTGATTCATTTCATTGATACTATTTGAATTTTCTTTATCTAAATCTTCATCAAATCCCCATTGAATATCATTATTAATATTATCACTATCTTCATCAATATCCCATTGTTGTTCTTGAAAATCATCTTCATCAAAATCATCATCATCATTAAATGGAATTATTCCAATCTTAAAATCTCCTTGTGGTTTTCTTGAAGAAACTTCATTTAGTCTACTTGAAAATGACTGTAATTGTTCATCTTGTTTATTACTAAATGTTAAATAATCCTCACTATTACTTTCTGAATCACTTTCAATATTTTTATAATATGTATTATATTCTTCAATTCCCATAGTTTCGATCCATGCATCTAAATATCTCACAACATTTTTATGATTAATTGAGGCTAATACAATTACTTCATCTCTAATTGTTTCAATATCTTTATCTGTCATTCCAAACATCATTTTTAAGACATATACTTTAGAATCATCTTTTCTTCGTGCAACAAATATTTTCCCAAATGCTCCTTTATCTAATTGTCTAACTTGAACAAAGTCTTTATTCAAGAAATCTGGATAATGTTTATTTATTTCATTTCCATCACTCATTGTTATAACAAAAAACTCTCTTTTTTTTTAAGATTTTTAAGTTTTTTTATATTCACAAAAAAAATTTTTTGATTTAAAAAAAAATGTTATTAAATAAAAAGAAAAAATCATTAAAAATATTAAATTACATTACGAAGTTCTTTGAAAAGAAAAGAAATAAGACAAATGGACTAATCAAAGTAGTATAAAAAGAACTTTAAAACCTTTATTGTACATTCATAATAATATGATAGAAAATACATCAAAAGATACTTGCAATTGCGATGAAAACCAACAATCACAAGAAACTATTAATGAAATTGATCAATCAACAGTTATAGATTATTTATCTCTTGAATATAATATGAATAAAAGATTATTAGGAAGTTCAATAAGAAGTGGATTAAGAGCATCAAAAGAAATTGTTAAACCAATTGATGAAGGTTTAAATAAAAAAATAAATATTGTTTTTTTAGATAAAGTAACATTTGTTCTTGGAGTAGCACTATTAGTTCTTTCAGAATATGTTTTTATGGTTCGTGTAGAATTAATGCCAGTATTTTATGCATTTATTGTAATTCCATTAGTAACAGCAAGATACTTAGTTTATAGAATGAATAAATGGCATTATTTTTTGTTAGACTTCTGTTATTACACTAATTTCTTATTATTAGTAACAATAATTCTCATCTTTGGATTTAAAATTATTTCACCAATGTATGAAATTTTATTTGTTTTAACAAATGGTCCATTGTTAATGGCTATTCCAGTTTGGACTAATTCATTAGTATTTCATGACTTAACTAAATTAACTTCAATATCAATTCATTTCCTTCCTGCTATGGTAACATATTCTATTAGATGGGGAAATATTGCTGAAATTCCTCAATCACTTTCATTTACAAATGGATTTATTCTTCCAATGTTTGCTTATTCAATATGGCAAACCTCTTATCTAATTATTACTGAAGTATTTAAACATGATTTAATTTATCAAGAAGGTTATATGACAAGTTTTAGATGGTTAACACAAGAAAAACCTCATAAATTATATTACTTTATTACTCAAACATTAGGAATGAAACAATCAGTATTATTCCTTATGGTATTAACCCAATTTATTTATACTATTATTACTATTCTTCCAACATTTTTATATTATAAATACAAATCACTTCATATAGTGTGGATGTTATTCTGTTTCTTTTGGGCTGTTTGGAATGGTGCTAATTTCTATTTTGAAATCTTTTTAAAACGATATAATCAATATTTAGACTCTATTGATAAAGAGAATAACTCTTCAAAGAATGAAATTCATCATCACACTAATCAAATTCATCAAAATAAAAATGAAATTATTATTAATCCAAATGAACAAAAAGAAGAATTACTTAATGATGAACAAAAAATTAAAAATGATTAAAAATAATATGATAATATGCATTTAATAATGTTTAAGATAATGTTGAAATATCAATTAAATTTTTTTTTTTAAAATTAAATATATTTTTAATACTTAAATAATATAATTTTTGTGTTTGTTATTAGAGTTTTTTATTATCATTATATTATTTATTCATACTTTTCTTATTCACATATTTGATGATTATTCTTTTACAATTTTTATTATACCTTTTTCTTATTTTTGAGGTTATTCTTCTCTAAGTAACTAAACATTTTTCTCTTGTTTTACTTTTATTTACAAGATTAAATAATATCTTCAACAATAATGAATGTTTATTATTTGATTTATTTCTTTCCTTATAAAAATAGAATCTTTTTATAAAAAAAAACATATCAGAAAAAAGAATGATTTATTCTGTAGGTTCAACAATATTTCTCCATGGCTTTACATCAGGATTATGTTTTTCTTTCCAGGAGTTATATTTTGTTGCTGCAACTTTAATTGAATCCATGGTTTTTGGAAGAACATTTTTAGCTTGAGAATTGACAAGGAAAGAAGGAAGAGAACCTCCACAATTATTATTAGCAATACAAGTAACTTTAGACCCATTTTCAGTTTTCTGAATATAATATCCACTCATAGAGAATGAAGCTCTTACAAATTTAGGATTTGGAGGGAATTTGTCATGAACAACAGAGAAATTATATAAAATATAGTCATCTCCTACTTTACGTGTTGATTGTCTAAAGACATAATCTCTGTTAGAAACTACTGGCATCTTAAATTGGTAGTAAATTAATACATTAGATTCATTTAATGTTTCAAAGGTTTCTCTTTTAAGTAAATTACTATCCCAATTACCACGATAGTCAGGATCAACCAATGTATCAAATACAGTTTCTGGAGTAATTCCTACAAAGTCAATTGAAGTTAGTCTAAGAATTAATGTATCACTTCCACCATCAATCATCCATTCTTGAATTTTATCAGTTTTCATAACTTCATTCCATTTATCTGAGGTAGTACACATTTTAACAAATTCTTCAAATTCAGCTTTAGTTGCAGGTTTAATAGAAGTTTGTGACATATTCTTTGTAGATAATAAGTTCTTGTTTTAATTTTTGTTAGTTTTAAATTAATACTATAAAATATATTAATTTTTATTATATTTTATAGTTTTAACATCTTAAAAGTTCATAAAAATTTTAACCAACAAACAAAAGAGGAATTGAAATTTAATTAAAAAATGATAAACTTATTTAAAGCAATTGCATAATTTCTTTTTTCATTGGTGTTGAATTCGTAAGGGTAGTGGCTCGTTTTCTTCTGTCTTTAGTAGGTGTATTTGTTTTATGATTATTCATATTAAATTCATTAAACGTTGGTTTAGATTCATTGAATTTATCAAATTCTAATGCTCTTTTAAATAGTCTATCATTCTTTTCTTTATTTTCCATAAATTCTTTTCTTATTTTAGCAAGACGTTTATATGTTGGGTCTTTTTCAGAGTTCTTTTTCATCATTTCTTTAATTTTACATTCTAATTGTGCATCTTCTTCTTTCTCTTTTGGTCCATCTGTTGTATATTTTGTTATAAGAATTAATTCACTTACAACTTCAACTAATTGATCCATTAAAGCTTCTATTGAAAATGAAATACCATCTTGCATGTTAGGAAGATATGTTGGATGATCAACAGCATCAAATTGTTCAAAACAAATAGAGTCAGGTTCAAGTCTCATAAAACTACCTTTGTTATGATACATGTCACAATAATTAGGAGCAGAAAATACTGTAATACATGGTGGAACATCAACATCTTGTAAGAAGTAATGAAGTTTATATCCTTCTTCCAGTAACTTGATGTGCACGA